AAGTCACAGCTCACAGCAACCTCAAACTCTTGGGCTGAAGTGATTCTCTTGCCTCAGCCTACAGGTGCCAGCCACAACCCCTGGCTATTTTTTTGTTGCAGTTGTCATTGTTGTTTAGCAGGCCCAAACCAGATTCAAACCTGCCTTCCTCAGTGTATGTGGCCAGCGCCCTAACCACTGGGCTACAGGCACTGAGCCCCAGCTATTTTTTGTTGCAATTGTCATTGTTCTTTAGCTGGCCTGGGCTGGGTTCAAACCCCCCCAACCTGGGTGTATGTGGCCGGCTCCGTTACCACTGTGCTATGGGAGCCCAGCTATTTTTTTTTTTTATAAATTCTTTTTTAAAATTTAATTTAATTTAATTTTGTTTTTATTTTTTATTTTTTTTTGGCCGGAGCTGGGTTCAAACCTGCCACCTCTGGCATATGAGGCTGGTGCCCTACCCTTTTGAGCCACAGGTGCCACCCTGGCGCCCAGCTATTTTTAGAGAGGGGCTTTCACTCTTGCTCAAGCTAGTCACAAACCCATGACCCATGACCCAATCCACCCGCCTTGGCCTCCCAGAGTGCTAGGATTACAGGCGTAATGCATTATATCTTTTAATGCTTATATAAACATCATTAAAAAATGTAAATAGGATCATTCTCTATATCCCTGTTCCACCTCACATATATATCATGAATGTCTTTTCATGTGTGATTTTTCCTTTCTAACAGTTCTAAGGTATTCCATTTTATGTTATGGACTCGACTTTATTCAATCAGTTGTCTATGTGATAGACATTTACATTTTTTTTGTTTGTTTGTTTTGAGACAGAGTCTTAGTTTGTCACCCTTGGTAGAGTGCCATGGCATCATAGCTCACAGCAACCTCAAACTCTTAGGTTCAAGTGATTCTCCTGCTTCAGGCTCCCAAGTAGCTGGGACTACAGGTGCCCACCACGACGCCTGGCTATTTTTAGAGATGGGGTTTTCCTCTTGCTCAAGCTGGTCTCAAACCTCTGAGCTCAGGCAATCCACACACCTCAGCATCCCAAGTGTTCAGATTACAGGAGTGAGCCACTGAGCCTGGCTTACATTTAAGTTTTTTCATCTGTACATACAACTTTGTCCATTTACTTTCTTTAAAATGGAATCTTAGGCCAGGTACAGTGGCTCACACCTGTAATCCTAGCACTCTGGGAGGCCAAGGCTGGTAGGTTGTTTGAGCTCAGGAGTTCAAGACCAGACTGAGTAAGAGTGAGACCCTGTCTCTAAAAACATAGCCGGTGGGTGGTGCCTGTGGCTCAGTGGGTAGGGCGCTGGCCCCATATACCGAAGGTGGCAGGTTTGAACCCGGCCCTGGCCAAACTGCAACAAAAAAATAGCCCAGTGTTGTGGTGGGTGCCTGTAGTCCCAGGTACTTGGGAGGCTGATGTAAGACAATCACCTAAGCCAAAGAGTTGGAGGTTGCTATGAGCTGTGATGCCACAGCACTCTACTGAGGGTGACAAAGCAGACTCTGTCTCTGAAAAAAGAATTAAAAATAATAATAAAAAAACAGGCTCGGCACCTGTGGCTCAAGCGGCTAAGGCGCCAGCTACATATACCTAAGGTGGTGGGTTCGAATCCCTAGCCCAGACCCACCAAACAATGATGGCTGCAACCAAAAAATGGCCGGGCATTGTGGCAGGCACCTGTAGTCCCAGCCACTTGGAAGGCTGAGGAAAGAGACTCGCTTGAGCCCAGGAGTTGGAGGTTGCTGTGAGCTGTGATGCCATAGCACTCTACCCAGGGGGATAGCGTGAGGCTCCGTCAAAAAAAAATAAATAAATAAAAATAAAAAATAAAAAAACATAGCTGGTATTTTTACATGGATGAAACTGGAACATATTTTTCTTAGTAAAGTATCTCAAGAATGGAAGAAAAATGGGGCAGTGCCTCTAGCTCAAGGAGTAGGGTGCCAGCCCTATATGTCAGAGGTGGCGGGTTCAAATCCAGCCCCTGCCAAAAACTGCAAAAAAGAAAAAGAAAAAGAATGGAAGAAAAAGTATCCAATGTACTCAGTACTATTATGAAACCAATATATAATTACCCACACTTTCATATGAAAGATAAAACACAACTATAGCCCAGGATGAGGGAGGGAAGAGGAGGGTGAGGGGAGGGGAGCTGGGAGGCCAGGTGGAGGGATGATAATCGGTGGGACCTCACCTATGATGCATATTTCAAGGGTACATGCCAAATCTATTAAAAGTAGCATATAATGGGGTAGTGCCTGTGGCTCAAGGAGTAGGGCACCAGCCCCATATACCAGGGGTGGTGGGTTCGAGCCTGGCCCTGGCCAAAACTGCAAAAAAAAAAAAAATTGGGTAGAGTATAAATGTTTTAACATAATAATTGAGGTGAAGGCTATAGTAACCAGTTTGATGTAAGCATTCCAAATTGTATATAAAATTGGCACATTGTACCCCATAAATGCATTAATGTATACAGTTATTATTTAATAAAAAAAATTTTAAGAGACAAAATAAAAATAAAAACGTAGCTGGGCATTGTGGCGTGTGCCTGTAAGTCCCAGTTACTTGAGAGGCTGAGGCAGGAGGATTGCTTGAGCCCAAGAGTTTGAGGTTGTTGTGAGCTCTGATGCTATAGCACTCTACAAAGGGTAACAAAGTGAGACTCTCTCTGAAAAAAATCAATAAATAAAAATTAAAAAAAATAGAATCCTACACGTAGAAGCAAAATTGCTGGATTGAAGAGTTTGTGTTCTGGCTGGGTATGGTGGTTCCTGCCTAAAATTCTAGCATTCTGGGAAGCCATGGTGGGTGGATTGCTTGTGCTCAGGAGTTCGAGACCAGCCTAAGCCAGAGAAAGACCCCGTTTCTAGTAAAAATAGAAAATAAAACAAGCTGGGCATTGTGGTGGGCGCCTGAAGTCCCAACTACTGGGGAGGCTGAGGGAAAAGGATCGCCTGAGTCCAAGAGATTGAGGTGATGGGCTGGGTGTGATGGCTCATGCCTAGCACTCTGGAAGACTGAGGTGGGTGGATTGCTTGCTTGAGTTCAGGAGTTCAAGACCAGCTAAACAAAAGCTAGTCCCTATCTCCACTAAAACTAAAAAACTAGCCAGAAGCCTGTAGTCCCAGCTACTTGAGCTCAAGAGTTTGAGATTGCTGTGAGCTATAATGCCATAGCACTCTACCCAGAGTGATAGGTGAGACTCTGTCTCAAAACAAACAAGAAAACCCCCCAATAAGCAAATCCCTACTGCATGTATCAAACTGCTAATCTCTCCCCATGGGAACTTCTGACCAGTTGCTTTCTCTGCCTTTGAGAACAATGGAAACTGCATGATGCCCAGGAGGACCCCAGAGCAAAGAGGTTGCCAGACTCCCTTTATTTTTGTCCCTTAGGAGCTTCGGAGGAAGATCTTGGTTAAGGGGAAGAAATTAAGTGTGTTTGAGGAGGATCTTAAGGATGAGAACGAGGAGGAGGAGACAGAATTAATGCTGGAGTGCCAAAATGACACAGAGACCAAGCCTCAGCTCCAGGAGCTAAGCTCGTGGAGGAAAGACAAAAAGGAGAAGGTAAGCCAGGAGTGGTCTTTCTGCTGTGGCGTTTGGTCAGCCTGCACCACAAGCTGAGGGCTATTTGTGAAGAAACTCAAGCCAGACGAAGTGGAAGGCAAAGATGCAAAATGACCCTTCCTTCCATTGAAAGAGGCCTAAGAATGTATATGTGGCATCCCTGTATGTTGCAGTGGCTTTCCAACTTCTTTGGGCCATGAACTCTTTTTTCTTTTTAAAATGAAATCTTTTCTTTTTTTCTTTTTCTTTTTTTTTTTTTTGAGACAGAGCCTCAAGCTATCCCCCTGGGTAGAGTGCCATGGCATCATGCTCACAGCAACCTCTAACTCCTGGGCTCAAGCGAGTCTCCTGCCTCAGCCTCCCAAGTAGCTGGGACTACAGGTGCCTGCCACAACGCCTGGCCATTTTTGGGTTGCAGCCATCATTGTTGTTTGGCGGGCCCGGGCTGGGGATTCAAACCCGCCACCTTAGGTGTATGTGGCTGGCGCCTTAGCTGCGTGAGCCACAGGCGCCGAGTCTTAAAATGAAATCTTATATGGAAACTCAGTATTCAAAATAGACAAATGGAGAACCATCCTACTTTAAGCACCCATTTGGCTCTCTCCTCAGTCCCCCAGGTACTCCTGAGATGTCTTTGTACTTCTCAGTCTTCTTAAAGGCCAGTTTGAAAACCACTGATGAGAGTGTGTGTATATGTGTAGCATTATTATATTGGGTAAGTGGGGTTAATGGAATGATTGTTGTGATTTCAATTAATGTAGGCTTAGAAAAAGATTCTCGGAAAGGGTGAGTTTAAGGAAGGGCCAGAAATAGCTGAAGAGGAGCAGAAACGGGAGAGCTTTGAGTTGGGGAAGGGAGGCAGAGGGAAAAGGCATGCCATTGTTGGAGCCTCCAAGATTCTTGTTTGAAACCTGCATTTCTCTCTCTTATGCACTTTCCTGGCTCACTCAGCTGACTGATTCTAGCTTTTCCTCTTCTCTCCGGGGCTGTGGTATCTAACGTGCTGCCATGTCCAGGGATGGAAATGGGAATTCAGGAAATAAATTCAAAGATTTTACTCTGGGACTCTCATGTCCTTTTAGGTGTGACTTCCATGACCATTTGCATACCTTGACATATCTGTCTGAATTTATGTACACCTTGACAAAAGGTTACTGTTCATTTAACAGAAGAGAAGTAGGGAGGATGGCACCTCTCTGTTACAAATAATAAGTTAAAAACTTGTTACCAGGATGTAACACAGAGCAGACCCTCCATGCCCAGAGGCCGAAACTGATCCCAGCAGTATATGCAGACTGCCTTTATTCCCATTCCCACCCCCAGGTTGTGACGTGCCCGCCGTTTTGTCTGCCTATCTGTTGTCAGACTATAGACCAGGCTTCTATTTCCAAGCCTGAGTTACTTCTCTTGTCCCAGAAGGTGAGGCAGGAGGGAGAATGTAGTGGGGAGGCAGTGGGCAAAGTCTTAGGTTGGATGGCCATTAGCTTCTTCTCTCTGACTGCTAAGCTTTCAATTCCATCTTCCTTCTCCAGAAATCCAACCCCATCGTGTGTCCATCCCTCTCTGACCTGATTATCTACTTGAAGAGTGTCTCATTCCGCAGCTTCAGTCATTCAAAGGAGCACTACCGCTTCTATGAGATATCATCCTTCTCTGAATCCAAAGCCAGGGGCCTGGCCAAGGAGGCTGGTCAGGATCAAAATGGAAGGACAGGGAGGGACATGGGAAAGGAGGTTCAGGCCTATGGGTAGGCAGGTTAAGTCTCATGAAAGAGGACAGGGAGCTAAGGATAGAGGAAGGAGCTAAGACACTCTTCAGAACAGGTAAAGGGAAAGGAGTTATGAGTAGTGGGCTCAAGGCTCTAGGAGAAAGAAAGCTGGGACAAGATAGTCTAGATCCGTTGTTCTCAACCTTCTTAATCCTTTTAATATAGTTCCTGTGGGTCATGACCCACAGGTTGAGAACTGCTGGTCTAGATGGAACAGAATAGAGAGGCACATTGAAGACCTCTGGAGCTAGCTGCAAGAGATGTTGGGGGAGAAGAGTGAATGAGCAGGCAGGTTCTTGGGGCCAGGGAAGTCCTCTTCCATCCCTTTCCTATACCCTCTTACAGGTAATGAGTTTGTGCAGCACAATACCTGGCAATTAAGCCGTGTGTACCCCAGTGGGCTGAGGACAGACTCTTCCAACTACAACCCCCAGGAACTCTGGAATGCAGGCTGCCAGATAGGTGAGGAAGCAACAGGGCCTGGGAGGAGGAAGTGGAGGAGCAGCAGGTGGGAAGTAAGTTCCCTACTGGCAATAGGCCCAGGGTATGTTTCATAAAGATGACCAGATTGAGAACAATGTTATCTATAGAAGTATTCCCAGTAGGCAGTCTTGCACCCAATATCTGTCTTTTTAACTCCCCGAAAGAGGGGCTAAAGGCTCCCAAGGTGAATCTTTCCTTCCTTTTCTCCTGAGTCCCTCAGTGGCTATGAATATGCAGACTGCAGGGCTTGAAATGGACATCCATGATGGGCTCTTCCGCCAGAATGGTGGCTGTGGCTATGTGCTGAAGCCAGACTTCCTGCGTAATGCTCAAAGTTCCTTCCACCCAGAGAGGCCCATTAGCCCTTTCAAGGCCCAGTCCCTCTTAATCCAGGTATGATGGAAAGAAAAACTGTTGGGAGGAAATTGGGACAGCTGAGTTAGAAATAGGGGAAGAGGTGGCTCAGCCTGATAGAAGTGTAAATGGTTGAAATTACACTCCTTGTAAGAGGCAGAAGAGCCTGATTAACAGCATCTATCTTTAGTATTTGGAGCCAGCTTTCTGGTTCAAATACATTTCCTGGTTGTGTAACATTGAGCAAGTTCCTTAACCTCTCTGTACCTCAAGTCAGTAGACCTGCAAAATGAGAGTAATGCTACCACCTACCTCATGTGTAAGTGTTACAGCAGTTAATATAAGGTGTTCACAAGAAATACTGGTACACAGTAAGTGCTATAAAAGAGGATATCATTAGTATGCCTACTTTCAGACCTTGTTAAGTTTCTACTTAGATGCACGTTTAATTGCAGATAGAATACTGAAAGAAAATATTAGCCTTGGAGAATTTTTGCAAACCAAAAAGCTATAGAGCAAAAGGGCTTGTGTTTCCTCCTCTGGGGTGTGACAGCTGGAGTGGGGTGCTGGGCTGAGCCAGAACTTGTGTGAAGTTCTAGAGCCCGGTTACAGATAATCAGTGGTCAGCAACTCCCTAAAGTGAACAAGAGCAAAGAGGCGTCCGTTGTGGATCCACTCGTGAAAGTGCAGATCTTTGGTGTCCGTCCAGACACAACCCAGCAAGAGACCAACTATGTGTCGAACAATGGTAAGACTGGCATGCTGAGGAGGGAAGTGTTGGGAGCCTGACCACTGTTTTCCTTCTATGTTGCCCTCCATTAAGTACAGTCTATGTTACCACACGTCTCCCTATTCTTGGTCCCTGTAAGAGGCAGTATGAAACAGTACAAAGATTCCTCTCCCAGGCAGCGCCTATGGCTCAGGGGGTAGGGCACCAGCCCGCATATACTGAGGGTGGCAGGTTCAAACCTGGCCCCGGCCAAACTGCAACAAAAAAATAGCCGGGTGTTGTGGCGGGTGCCTGAAGTCCCAGCTACTCAGGAGGCTGAGGC